GCTGATGGTGAGCACCGTGGGGATGAGGGACTTGAGGCCGAGCTCGTAGCCCCAGACGGAGTCACGGTCAATGATGCGGAAGAAGCAGGAGATGTTCTGCGACTGGTAGCCCACCCGCACCTCGGCCAGCTCGTAGAAGGGGATGGCCATCTCCGTGTAGCGCCGTGACCAGATGCTGGGGTCTGAGAGCGGGCGGAAGGTGCTGAACTGCTTGGGCAGGTAGCTGGTCTCACCTGCGTCAAACTTGAAGGACGAGATGCCATACTTGTGTCGGAGCTGGCGCAGGTGGCTCTGGAACCAGTCCCGGGCTGCTGGGTTGGTGAAGTCCAGGATGGCCCCAATGCCGTTCCACCACTCCACCATGGCTGGCAACCGCCCAGATGGCTCCTTGATGAACAGCTGACGCTCGATCCCCACCCCGAAGTTGGAGGAATTGTAGTTTATGAAAGGGTGAGTCCACAGGCTGACCTTAAACCCATCCTCCCTCAGTTTTGCAAACATCTCCGTTACGTTGGGGAACTTGACGGGGTCAAAGTCAAAGTCCCCATAGGCTTGCGTGTACATGTCATCAATTTCAATGTGGCTGCAGTTAAAACGGTACTTCTTGATCTTCTCGGCAAATCGCAAGAGTTTATCCTGGTCGATATTGTTCTTGTAGAGTGCCCAGGTGGACCAGATGGGGTATCGGAAGGCGTTCTCGGCAGGGATCTTGGAGGGCTTGTTGAAGTACCTGCGCACCATGTACTTGTGGATGGAGGTGACGTCGGAGCCCACGCACACCCGGTAGCTGAGCTCGGGGAAGGGCTGCTGCCCCGGCGGGGGCTTGTAGGGCGAGTCCTTGTAGCGGGCCTGGAAGAAGAGGGCGCGCTCAGTGGCATTGAAGCCCAGGTGGAAGGGCACGGAGTCGTTGATCTTGATGGCCGCCGCCTTGGAGGAGAGCCAGTAGCGCTCGAGGATGCCGCCAAAGCTGTCGCGGAAGGAGTAGACATCGCTTGTCACGTAGGGCACGGGCTCCTGGTAGCCGGCCAGGCGGATGGGCCAGTGCTGGGTGCTCATCTCCGAGCCCCCGTACCAGTGAGCGTCCTCCCAGAACATGGTGTGCTCCACCGCCGGGCCGGCCGCCAGCTCCTCCCAGCGCACGCGGTAGCACATCACCGTGTCCTTGGGCTTCACCGTCTGGATGAAGAAGTTGAGCGGTCCCCCGCCCGACCGCGTGCAGCTCAAAATCTCGCCCTCCTTGGAGCACGACTCCAGGTCAAGGCTGCCCGAGCGGAAGGCCAGCCGGAAGACCACCTCCCCGTGCTGGTTCCTGATGATGAAGCCATCCGCCCGCAGGTCCATCAGCTCCGTCTTGAGCCGCTCCGCCTTCCGCAGGGACACCGTGTAGTAGCACCAGGCCACCACTGCGGCAATGAACAGGATGAGGCCCAGCAAGATGGCCCCAAGCATGGGCCTCAGCTCCTTGGAGGGCTTCTGCTTCACTGGTGTGAAGTTCTCAGGCAGGAAGGTGTACATGGTGCTCTGTTTTCGCTAGCGCTTTTTGCAGAGGAGTGGGAAGGAAGGTCTCTGCAGCAAGTCTGGGGCTCTCAGCAGAAGACAATGGACTGTTAGGAGAGTTCCCACCTCCATCGAGTCCCAGAGCACCTGTCTCTGAAAAAGAAGAGGACATAAATAGTCTCAGAAGAATCTCTGAAGCAAGGGACTGCTTGTCATCCCTTTGCCAACTCCATTTCAGCAGCTCCCCCCACCCTGCCGCCGCTGGGCTGAGACGTGCCAGGTGCTGTACACCGAGTACCAGACACCATCTCCAGTTACCCCAGGCAGACAACATGTGCAGAGAACAGCTTGAGCCTCACGTGGACAACAACCCTGGGGCAATAAGGGCCAAATCGCTGCCGTAATTAATTTTTTTTGGGGGGAGGACTTTCAGCGAGGCAGGAGCAGAGACTGGGAGAGGGTAGGAGGAGGCTGAGCAGGAGCTGGATCAGCCCACTGACAGTATCTTTAAGGGACAGGGCTGATTAAAAGCCATAAAAGACACTGTGTAATGAATTCCAGGCAGCTGCTCTTAATTTTAATCAAACCACCTCCCTGGCAGATTTAACTCAGCTCATCCGCAGCACTGTACCCTCCCCATCCCCTCTGTGTACCAGCTACTCCAGCCTGGGGATGCTTTGCGGCGAAGGTGGGTAAATCCCAGCTTCTCCGCAGCCCCCAGATGGCCAAATGGGGCCGAGGTACTGGTGGCTCATGGCTGCTTTTGGGGGGCACGTAGGGGGTGCGCTGTGCAGCAAAGCACGGCTGCAGGACGTACCACGCCAGCAGCCCCAGGCGGGAGGAAAGTGGCTTGCTCCTGCCATGCGCGCAGACCCCTGCGACGGCTCCGAGTGGAAGAAAGGCTAATTTTCTTGGGAGAGAGCAGTGCAGGACCTCCAATGGGTTTTTCCTCCATCCAGCACGGCCCCGGGCTGTTTCAGCTCCAGCCTGCTCCCCCATGTGTGGCCCCAGGGAAGCGGGCTGCGCCAAGAGCCTAATGGCTTTTCCTTGGCTGCGGGCTGGCTGGGCTCGGCCAAGCACAGCGCTGGGGATCCAGAGGGGAAAAGTAAAGTAAGGACACAGGAGAGCGAGAAACAAACCTGGCCGCAGGAGGAGCAGGGGGAGAGGAGCTGCAGAGCTGCAGACCAGCTGGTCGGTACCTGCCTAGCACCAGCAAACAGGCATGCCGCCTCCCCCCCGAGCCCTGGGGCTGTAAGCCTGCCGGCTCTGGGCAAATCGGAGAAAAAAAACCCCACTTTTTGCAATGAAGCTGGTTGCAGCAACTCCCTCTAAAGGGGTTGGTTTCTTTTTAAAAAAAAAAAAGGAAGAAGAAGAAGAAGATCCAAAATGAAATACCGAACCCTCTCCCTGCCACAGGTGAGCACATTTTCCTCTGCACCTTGGACAGATCTTTCTCCCCAAAAAAGGATGGGCAAAGCAGAAAGGGGTCCTGAGCATCACCTAAACCCCACTGCTCCACTACGGGGATGCCTAGGTGTAAACCCAGAGCGGCACCTGGACACAGGCTCAACAAAACACATAGCATTTTATATTCGTCTTGCAGCGGGTATTGGGCCAGACCTTGCAGCTCAGGGAACTTTTTCATTGCCGGCCAGGTCATTTTAACCTTCCCCTGGGAGCCGATAACTTTCTAGGCTGCCAGTTGCTTTAAATGGGATTATGGCGGCATTAGAAAGCAATTAGCCTGAACGGGCGATAGGTTTAGCTAAATGACTTGTCCCGCGGCCAAGTCCCATGGAGCCCTTGCTCACTGTTGGGGAGCTCCGGCACGGGATGAGGGTGGCTCCGACCACCCCGACTCTGTCGCCCAGGGCCAGATCCTGCACCCCGGGAAGGGGACCCTCAGCCACCAGCACATGTGATGTGAGGCTGGCTGAGCCCAGCAAAAATGGGGCAATAAAGGCAGAGAGGAGACAGTGGTGGGAAGTTGCTGTGCTTGGGATAAACATTCATCCCCTCTATCAACCCCTCCTTGGCTTAGGGTGAACCAGAAGCAGCGCAGGATTGTACTGGGGATGAGGGGAGGGGGGAGGTTTGCAGAAGGGTCTTGGCCAAAAGCAGCACAGCTGAGCAATGCCACAAGTGGCAGGATGCTTCTGGAAATACAGACGGGTATGCTGAGCCCAAACAAGCTCCCTCCCTCTCGGCACTGAGAATTTTTGGGATGCCAGCGAGGGAGATGCAAATACCTATCACTACCAGAGGCACGCCTGTGTCTCATGCGTGCCTTATCTGGGGACTGCAAAGCTCAAGGGGGGGAGAAAATAAAATGCAGCTGCCCACTGAGCAGGGCTCACAAATTATTTCGGAAAAGAATTTTTAAAAGTTTTCCCATTTTCTGAAAAAAAAGAGGAAATAAATGGTGTTTTCTTTCCCAGCTCTCATTTAGGGTTTTAAGCCCAAGAAATGGCTGATACTGCCGCTGCAGGGACAGCCACCTCCTCACTCCATGTAAATTTGACAGCAGTTCCCAGGGCTTTAGGGAGTTTCTGGATTTTCATCTCCCTTTCAGGAGGTTGGTTTATTATTTATGAACTACTTTGAAGCCGCTCTATTTTTAGGCTGTTTCTTTCTTTTCCCCCCATGGGCTGGAGCTCATGACGTACACGAAGGAGCCATCACTGCTGCTGCTAGTAGAGAAATAATGTGTTTAAGAAATGTTTTGCAGCCTTTGTGGCCCTTGGACACCAATCTGCCTCGGAGGGATGTGCAAGCCGGGTGTCCAAGCTGGCAAATTTAATCCTGCTCTGGTCACTCTGGCTGGGCCAGGATCAAAGCCCTGTGGCTGCCCTGGGCTGACGAACATCACCTGCTTGGCTACCACTCCAACAAAGATGCTGAGAAGGGTGTTTGCAGGCATCGCCCAGTGCAACAATAGGCCATGGAGGTCTCCGAAAACAGGATCTCGCTCTCTGCCTGTCCAGCCCCTCTCTTTTTTTGCCTCGTTAACAAAATGCATGCTCTCCAGCCGGTGACTTGGCTCCATCCCAGATGAGAGGTAAGCCTCCCAAGCTCCCCAGAGACAACGCCTGCCACCTCGCACTCACAAGCCACAGCCTGCAGAGGTGCCTGCTCATGCAAAGCCTGTTTCAACATTTTTTTTGGAATGCAAACTTGTTATTTTGCTCCAAGATGACATTGTGGTGACCTTTAAACTCCTCAAAAAAAAAAAAAAAAAAAAGAAAACGGGAAGGGAGGGTGTCAAAGCCAAACAGCATGTTTGCAGCTTGCTGTGCTGGAGCTACCCAGCTGACCCAAAACAAAGCTTTTTCTTCCCGCTCTGTGGAAGCAGCGAGTCATCTTGCTTCAACTCGAGATGAAAGCAAAACATCTGAGCAGGACACACTTTACGGAGTAAAAATAAAAATCCATTTTTTGACCGCTTCTATTTTTACCAACACTGCCACTAACCACGGGCTGCGAGACCCACAGCACCACTAACCCCAGCAACTTTGCAATTAGGGCATTTGTTTAAAGAGGGTCAATAACATTTAGCTGGTCTCTATTGCCCCAGTGGGGCCCAGTCTGAACTGTGCCAGGGGCCAAGCATGCGCTGGGCACACACATACCCATTTCCCACACCAGGATGCCGGGAAACCCTCCCCTCCAGTGCAAGGTGCTGCCGCCTCCTCCCCAATCATCTTGGCAGGAGTTGAGCTAAGGAAACACCGCAGATTTCACTGGGAGGCACTTCTAACCCCATAAAAGAACAGGGAATTAGGATGGCAAATTAAGGGGGAAATTACTTCTCTGTAAAACAGCTGCGGGGGGGGGGGGAAAGCCTCCACATGCACGGTCCTGGCTCCACTCCGCAACCCCCCGCGGGGGACCAGCCTTGCCAAAGGGACTTTGCAAACCTGAGATGGAGGATGAGCAAACCTCTCCCGGGGGTTTAATTTGCCCTAGAGAGGTCTGCACTAGCACTGGAGTTCTCTGGAGGGCTTTTTGGAGTCATTAAGGGTGAAATCACCATTCCAGCTGCTTGCTTCTGGTGGGAGTGGGTGGGACAGGCAGGGGCACCCAGCGGCAGCATTGGCACAGGGCACAGGGCTGCTGCTTGCGCACCCCAGCCCCCCCGCAGATCAGAGGCACTGATTCCTTCCCTAGCCCTGCACAGCCACTCACAAGGATCCCCCCGGATACCGCACCGAATCATCCCCGGGACCTGGTTTATCCCCGAGGCACACAAGCCACCCCGGGGTGAATGTGGGTGGCACAGACCCCCAGCCCCCAAGCCAGGGCAGTGGCTCTGCCTTAGTGGGACAAGGACAGCCAGGGGGGGCACGGCGCAATCCTTCCCGGGGGACCCCTGCCATCACCGCCCCTG